ACGTGTATAGAGCTCTTCCCGCGAGCCTGGTCTGCATGTGGAACACAGTCGGAAATGCTGCTAGGGTGCCACTGTACAATACGGCATACGGTCAAACGACGGCGCAACTGCGGCGTGCTGAAGTCAAGCGCTCAAGCCACACGCAATTTCTATCTGACCATTGTGTTTGTGCGAGCAGTACTGAAGCTTCACCATCCATTCGCCCATCCCACATTCCACCCTGCTACGAAAGGTTGCAGTGCACCGCATGCCACAAAAAGTGCTGTGATTCTGGGACTCCGACGGCTCTCACCGATCGCGCAACCTCGAGGCCTTGTGCTGAGCATCTACTTACAAAGACATTCGCGCTTCGCCGGGTAGTAACAAGGGGACAGGGCATGTTTTCATCTTGGCGGCAAACTGGTGTTGAAGATCTTTGCTGACTTCCGCATCGATCTGAGACAGCACGAAGAATCGGCACTGACGTCCGCTGCACGTCCAGATGATCCTCGTTGGTCTTCACCAGCCCCATTTTCCAATGGCTCGTGCATGAAAAAACGCACAAACTTCAGAGTTCGTGGGTCCTACCTTTCTTTTGCCAGCCCTGCCGGTCGATCAACGTATGGCGACACCTGTTGGCGTCGTGCGGCTGCCAGCCCATCCCTTCCAGGTAGAGCTGGATCGTCTCACGAGGGGCTGAAAGAAGCGCGGTGTGAATCGTGGGGTGGAAATAGACCGAGGAAATGTTCAAAGATGACCACCAGGTCCAATTGACATCATGAGGACTGAGCCTCTCCGTCAAAAAAGCAATGAAGTATGGCGATGGGTAATCCGGGGTGTTGCAGTTGATGAGGTAGCGGTTCTGAAATCCCACATGTAGCTTTCGGAAATCCTCCAATTCATCCATCTGACTACCGATGTTCTGCACGACTGCACCATGGGGACCCAGCAAAGCCTGCAGGTTATGGAAAAACTTCACAGACCACTGGCTTCCCAACGGATCATCGGTGGAGTCGATGATGCATAAATCGAAACTACCTCTCATCTCGACGTGATTCGCCTCCACCCAGAGCACGCCATCCATGATGACCAACTCGTGCCGCGGATCCTCCAGTACTGCACTACTGGAAGCACGGGTGTTCAATTTTACCACGTGATTAGTTGGAACGGCCTTGAACGCATACGAAATGTTTCTGAACACTGTGCCACGACGATCCAGGCGGAGTTGCCAGATCCAGTGTTTTGCAGACTGAAAACATTTGGGCAGATTTAAGTGAATAGCCGACTTCTGGGACTCAAAAGCAGGGGTCAACCTCCTTTTCATTTAAGCCATGAGATGGTTTGGATGCAAGCAAGTCTACGGCCTGATAGCCCGCCGCAATCTCTGGTAAGAACTCCTGCGCCACTGCCGGGACAGTCTCATCAATCTCAACCTGCATGACCTTCTCCACTTGCGGGTACCTGCAGGGTGGACCCTTGCATCCCTTTTCTGCTTCTTCGAATCGTAACACCATGCCGAGCCAAGCC